TTAGACTTCATCTAGGCCTGTCCGAGAGATTTGATTGTTAAATATCCAGTGATTGGTGCGAGAGATTCATTAGCAAGCCTTGTCATTTTCAAACATCTGAATGCATATGCAATATGTTCGATGATAATTTATAATCAATAAATAACACAAAAGATTACACTCAGAAGTGACGGTGAGGGTTTTTCATCTTATCAACCTTCTTGAAAGTAGTTTACAATGTTTCACTGAATGGTGTGATCATGCAACATTTCCACTAATCAATCAAAGTAAAAAAAAAAAATAAGAATAATAAAATGCACCAGCACAAAATAATTGTTTTTAGGAATGACTGGCACAAATACTGTACTTACAGAGAAACTCTGGAGACAAAAGCACAGCAATGACTCTACTAGGAAGCCAAAGAGAAACACAAAACAAGAGAAGCAGACAGAAAGAAAAGGAAAGGCTTAATGGGCTCGGCTGCGATGAGTGTAATTACCTACAGACAGTGACTGCGCTTAACGGCCTCTTGAGGAAAGCCAGGCTGGAGCAAGAATGATGTGCAACACAATGAGAGGATATTACATAATCCCACAGGCGCATTTAAACCGTAATCTATTTTCACTCCTAGACATCGCAGGCGGTAATGTATTTGAGCAGAACGGAGATGCGGTATTGAGATGTGTGAAATTGTGGCTTGGAATGCATTGCGTTCTGTCAACGAACTATTGATTGACTGTAGCAATAGAGCGCGAAGCGTTCGCTAGGAGAGATTCGGAGAAAAATTGCACCTTGGGTAACGGCAATGAACCAACGTGACGCTTTCTGAACGAGCGATGACAAATCATTGTAGTTTCAGTTGACAATGTTAGTATGGCAGCCGTGATGAATTAGCTGCTAACGCGCAGGCCTCCGTTCTGCTTGTTTATGAGTTTTACCTAATGACTTGGCTGTGTTTGGGTTCACTATAATAGAGAAACTATTCTTGCTTATTCGGTATTAATACGCACAAGCCTTGACGCCTCTGAAGAATATGTTGCTCTTCGGAACAGCTGCCTAAAGGTGTTCTGATTCCTAGCCGTAGCACGCGAGTATATTTGTGCTGTGTGTCTGTATTCAGGAGCACCAGTGATGATCGACAGGGTACGCTTACGCTAATTGCCGTAAATACTCTCGGTGCTCTTGCTCAATATAGTCGAATGATATGCGCCAGAGAAAGTGCAGCGTTATCTATCTCTACTGTTCAAGGAACTGTTGTTTTGTTTTGCACGGAAGCGTGGGATGCTTAAGAGGTCAGGTTTCCGCTCCGGGCTGAACGCTCTGCACTTTGGAGAGCGTGACGGGAACCTTGGCCTCTCCGGGGGTGGGAGCGCGGGTGACGGGCTGAACGGAGGCCTTGATCTCGGCGAGCCGCTCTTTGAAGCGCTGCTGCAGACGGAGCTCTTCCTTGGAGCTGCCCTGAGAGCAGGCGGCCAGCAGCAGCCCCACTGCCATCCCGCTGCCGCCCACGCAGAACAGCACGGCTCCGGCCAGCTTACAGGCGTCCAGGGCCCGGTTGAAGCGCACCGCGTGGCCGTCCACAAACAGCAGCTCGTCTTCTCCGAAGGCTTCGAGTCGAGGCGGCGTGGCGTAGCCCACCAGCAGCACGGATAACCCCGCCACCAGAATCAGAGCACCTAGCGCGAGACAGACCTGGTGGAGAGACACAGAGGAGCCGTATTAATCCAATGTTCTGGCATGAAACTCTAGATGGCGCAGTCCGATAGGTCAAACTCAATCTGACATCATGATCACATGGCACATCTCATTGGTTATTTTTGTATCAGCAGCCAATGAGCTCGCTGCTCAACATTCAAATATATGACTAGTGCTTGCTGTAGCAGTTTGCAGTGCGCTTCAGAAACCCTCCACCTCCCCAGCTCCACCTGTATAGATCTGCCACAGGGTGATTCAAGTATGCTATGTTTGGCAGTTATTCATATATGTTATATGTGCAGCAGCAGTATTTCTTACATGCTCACAGCAGCATGTTGTGGATGTATTGGCAGTAGCAAGTCTCGGTATAGCAGCAGCGTAACTGATCTATTCCGCCAAGACCAAACACATTAAAGGATTAGTTTACTTCCAGAATAAAAAAATCCTGATAATTTACTCACCCCCATGTCATCCAAGATCTTCATGTCTTTCTTTATTATTATTGTAAACTGAGTCAGTACTTCTGCCTACATAACGCGTGACTTTTCCAATATCACCTAATAAAGACGCACATCGCAGAGCTAATGCTAGCCAAGCATTTGTGGTTAAAAAATGTATAAAGAAACTGACCGATCATTTCACTAGATAAGACCCTTATTCCTCGGCTGGGATTGTGTAGAGCCCTTTGAAGCTGCATTGAAACTGCATTTTGGAAGTTCAAATCGTTGGCCATCACTGAAGTTCACTATATGGAGAAAAATCCTGGAATGTTTTCCTCAAAAAAAATTTAAATAAAATAAAATTAATATTTGCGACTGAAGAAATAAAGACATGAACATCTTGGATGACATAGGGTGAGTAAATTATCAGGAATGTTATTATTCTGTAAGTGAACTTATCCTTTACCATGCCAATCCCTCTGAGAGTCGTCATGACAGAACTGTTTTAACACCAGTAGGATGACAGTAGCGACATCTGCTGCACAGGTTAAAGATTCAATCCCCTCACTGACCGTCTGATGACTGCACACATACAAGACTCAACTAGCCGAAAATTTGCGTTTCTGATCTGATCGCAGGGCTACTCAATTATCAAAAAGACCAGTTTGGAAGGTGATAGAGAAAAATTCTGGAATCAGCAACTGAAAAATTCTGATTTGTGAAAATTATTTAAATATTAGAATAGAACTATATGTTGTTTATTTAGCAACTTTGTTTTGAAACAACACCAATATCCATGGTGACATCCTAAACTGTAAAATGACTGTTAAAAACTACGATGTAATGAACTTTACAGTTCAAATAATAAAGTTTTGACAAACGTTTTATAAAATGATAAACCTCACATGTCAGCCTAATAAATGATTATGTATGTTAAATATAATTGATCTGAACAAAAACAGCAGACGGGCTGAATGAAGGAAAAGCAGAAATACAGCGGTTACCCCCGGACACAAAGTAGCGCTGTACTCATAAACCTCACATGGAGGTGAAATTAAAAAGAAAATGTCATTGAAACTTTTCTGAAGACAGTCAGTTCCCTTCAGATACACATTTATACACACAAAAAAAAGTTGGATTTGCATGTCAATAGCATATTTCAATGTCAGAGTTTGCAGGTAAAATAATTAGGATTATTTTGGTCAATACTGAGATTGTGACTATTACTAATTGACCTTAAAGCATGATGCATCAAATGAAAAACAAATACAAAAATAAATGTAAATAAACTGATAAATAAAAATAAATAAATAATCTCAGTTTGGAGCTGAACTAAACAGGGCACTGTCTGGCAGAGAGGCTTTTTTATTAAGGGGTGGAAGCACACCACTATAAAGGAACACGAGACAAAACAAAAGCATTATTGCAAAACAACAGTCTTTCTACCTAGATTTTTGTTTTCATAATCTTTGGAAGGCAAAATAGCAATTGAAAATAAAAGCAATACAGTGTTTTTGAAGAGGAACCAGCTTTGTGATTGGCTGCACATATTACTAATAAAATTAACTAAAAAACTAAAACTGAAAAAAAGAAAACTTAAATAATAACATAAAAATAAACAAAAAATGACAAAAACACATACAATAACATGCATTCATGCAAACATATAAACAGGCTTGTTGGCACATTTTTGCAGAGAACCAGCAGGCTGATGTCGTCCATCACAGCAGCTCACCTTCCAGAGCACAGAGCTCCAGCGGCTCGGCGATCTCGGTGTCTGGAAATCTTCATCGCGCTCCCAGATGGAAGCGGTGCACTCCTCGTAGAACTGATGCAGGTAGGAACGCACCCCGTAACCCTGGTAACCGCTGCTGAGGGCGCCATGGCTCTGCTCAGTGTAATCTGAGCCACAGATCTCTGAGCAGGACGTCATGCTTCACATCTGCACACAAGCACAGCAGTCTCATTTACTTTCAACTCAGCTTACCGGCCATGAAACTGTATGTGCATTATGTCATTAAAACACAGGTTGAACAAATAGAGGACACACTAAATATTATTATTATTCACTCACATTATAAAAATTAAACAAGCCAATAATTAACTATTATTATAGTATTACAATTTAAATTATTTCACATTAATACTGTAACATTCTGTTTCATTTGGCACTTAGCGAGCGTTAATTTTAGGCCCATTTTACATTAAAAGGGCAACGTATCCTGGGGGATACAAACATTTGAGAAGCTGTGGGGACAAGCAGTGAAAGTGTAGGTCTTATTTCTTGGTTTCATGTTGAAAGGGTGTCTGTTGTGAATATTTAGATGAGGTGAATTTGTTTCATTCTTTGTTTAGCTCACAGGAAGCATTTAAAACTGCATGGCCGCCTGTCGTGGGAAATCTACTCACCCTCCGGTAAAAGTTGATCTAGTTCACATATTTACACATGCTGGAGGGGACTTATCTGTTTAAAAAGCTGTTGTTCAGCATTAGCACATTAGGTTTACATTGCAATTTTATTAATTAAATGCTTACTTTTTTTGTAATCTGTCTCTAAATGTTTGTATTTCAGGGGACACGTCGCTTTTTTAGGGGTGTATATAGACTCTGTGATTTTGTGTCTTGTGTTTTAGAAAATCAAATATTTTTGTAATCTTGACTAAACACATATCGTTGGAAAGGTCTGACAGTCAAGGTTCCATATTTGGTGTCTGTTTTGTAATATAAATGATATTGTAACAGAAAACTGCCTCAAAAAAATTCAATAGAGTTTGGTTGTCACCCAGTGGTTATTTTTGGTATAGTGCCCAAACTAAATCTCACAGGAACTATAATGTTTGTGATATCAACTTCAAATTTGGAACATAACTTGCTTAGACACGTGGCTTTGATTTTATATCAAGTTTAGAGTGCAACATATTTTATTACATATTTATGTTTTATATAATTTTTTTTTTTGACATACATAAGTAAAACTTTTTTTTACATTTTTTTTTATGCTTTCACTTCAGCAATAATCTGCTATGTGTCTTCTGGATGAGAGACCAACCTTAGGTCTGTATTCCAAAGCATTCAGGAATTACAACCATGTTGTAACAAGCATTGATAAACAAGTGTTCTGTTTTCAGTTAATGTATCCCCCAAAAGGGCAATGTATCCTGGGGATACAAACATAAAAATAAAAATAAGAGTCAAGTTTAAACAAAAAAAAAGTCATGAAATCGTATTATTTGAGTACCAATAAGATGGAAATGGCAATAAATTAAGTTTCTGATGTCTCTTTATGGTTTTACCCTTTTTAGGGTTATGCATTTAGCAGACAGAAATCTGCTCATGCAACAAACAATCTAAACAAACAGCATTCTAACGATAAGATTTTGACATTAGATTTAATAAACTAATTCCTCATTAACTGATTGTCCTTTTGTTAAAGCTGAAGTTTGTGCCACTTTGGTTCTGCAGATTTTTAAAGAGGTTTCCCACATCCTCCCGTGTTCCATTGGTCAGACACACAGACTGAGAATCAGCCTATGAAAGGTTTAATTATCAAAGGTGAAGAATATTAAAACACACACCAAATCTGCAAAACCACACACTAATTCTCAGCCTTTGACTCAGTTTTCAGGTTCATAAAACACTTTTTGCAAAACACAACACACAATTATCTATGCAACACACAAAAATCTAACGGGGATTAATATTATGGCAAAAGTGTTTGCAAATGTTAGCTTTTGAGATGTGTTTGTGATATTTTGAATGCAGTGCTTCATTCTGCAACAGATGTGAGGCATTTTGTATTTTGTGTGTGCAATTCTTGGATTTGTGTATATAGTTTTGAGAAAAAGAGGCAAAGTTTTGAAAATGTGTGTAAGCAGCTGAAAAAAACTGTAACACTGAAACAATGACAGACTCCAGCTTTAAGCATCAGACTCAGCAGATCTGATGACTGCTGGATGCGTTCAAGCGGCATGTGGTTTCCAGCGTGAGCATCTGTAAACAGGGTCTGGATGATGAGAGCGGGAGGGAAACGAGGCTGTAATGAAATCACGGATACCTGCTGAAGCTCATGAGGAAATGACTCAGCCGTCCTTCAGCGTTTCAATGAGCCTCAGTCCTGCACACTACACCAGTGCGTTTACCTGGAAGTTTAGGCTCATGTTGAAATTAAAGTGATGGCATGCAGAGATACAGAAAATGAAGCCACATTCACGTCAGTAGAGTTTATATGACATCACTCACATGTTGGTTTATAGAGCGCAATAGACTTCATTCTGTAACCCTAACCCTAACCCTAATTGTTCAAGAGTTATAAGTGATGAACCAAATCAACCAGCTACAAGGAGAATCACATTACAAACTCTGATTTGAAGCAAAAGAAATAGTATTAGAAAATCAGACAAAAACACAAAGATACGAGACTGTGAACTTAACAGCTTTAGTGAGGGAAACAACTACAATCCCATTAAACACTGTGAACGACAATGGAGAAATATGAAACTACTGATCTAAAAATCTTGATTGTATCTATATAAACAATATATTTTGCATTTATTGCAAAATATGCAAATATATACAAATATTTCAGTAGTTGGAGAGTGTGGCGAAACTGACGCTGCATTTGAAATCGAATACTTCCCTACTATATAGTATGCAAAAAATGGTATGCGAGGCGAGTAGTATGTCTGAAATTGTAGTATACGAAAAATAGTAGGCAAAAAGTCCCTGGATGACTACAGACTACATCCAATGAGATTCTGAAGTGTGCATCCGATGGACACTTTACTATCACATGAGGCCACAGGGGAGGAGCTATGCAGTTATCACATGACCATAACAGCATGGCGGATGTAGTACGTCCAAATTTCATACCATGTATATATATTCAGACTATAGTATGTGATTTCATCTGCAGTGCTACATGGCAGTGGGCGGAGCTTCTGACATGGTTTCCTGATTTTGTAGCGATTCTCTGATTGGTGGAGATTACAGAATCATGGGTAATGTAGTTTCTCATTAGGATCTGCTGTTAAACAATCATTAAATTGTTTGAAAACTATGTTAAAATAATGCAAACAGATGGCTTTAACAAAGCAGATATCATCGATTAACAACCGTTAAGTCTTTAACAGTTTATAAGATATTGTACAAAATAAATTCCTCTATGTAGAAAAGTAATGGGTTTTTAGTTTGGATAAGAAAAAAGACAACTGTAACCACACACACTTTCAATTATATTTTCATCTGACATAAATTTGTGAGCATCTGTATGAAGCTGAAGGTTTGCTCTGAGATAATTTTTTTGGAGGAGCATGACGCCATCCTGAGATCTTCATGTCATCTGATGCTCCTGAACATCTGAGACACTCTGTCCTGTCCTCTCCTCTCATTATAAAGAGATGTGCAATTATATGATGGAAGTCTATTTATAGCTGCGTGTATGTCCAATGCGTCAACGAACGTTTAAAAAAAATCGTCCTTATTCAACAAAACGGCACAAAGCAGCTTTTACACATTTGATGATCGATATAAAAGCAGACTGATCCAGCAGTCACAGTCTTACCCATCAAATGCGTCCTTCGTGACAGCGTTTAGACAACAACGACGAATTCAGCATAAGACATCGAGAGGCTTCGACAGATCAGTGTTTGGAGGATAAATGAATAAAAGCGAATACCTGTCATAACCGGGCTGAGCTGCTCTTCTTCACTCCGCACAGCCGCCGATGCGCTCGACTCCCAGCGACGCACTGCGCATGCGTCCTGATCAGACGCTTCTCTGAGTCACCTGGCTGGAGACATAGATGAGTGTGATGCATTTGAATCAGGTTCAAATGCGCTGTTCTTCCTCACATGTTCACCTGTATACCACACCGCCAGTGTGTCATTCCACGGGGAACGTAGACTGCTCTTGACGAATAGACTGCAAGTAAACATCCAAAAGAGCTAGACTATTTGTGTTTTGTGATTAGTTATGATGCAATCAACTACTGTGTGGTTTGTAATTATCAGACCGTTTGTAGAGGTTCTTTATGTAATAAAACACTTGCATGTAAATGATTATGCTTTTTCTGACTAACATTTCCAACAATATCATTTAAGAAGTGAACTCTGTTAGAGTACATGAGATCATGTTAACCAATGCGAAAAAAAAAAAAAATTAGCAGAAAGTCCAAATTGTGAAATCCTTCCAAATTCAATTAAAAAAACAATACCTGTATATTGAGCAACACTCAACAGCACCATGCAAAAATACATGCTTGACCAAGCTTTACTGTAACTCATCAGTGTCCAAATAATTATTCCAAAAAAACTCATTCATGTTGAAAATCTCATACTCATTAATCAACATTAATCACAGCCATCTGTGAAAAACAGAGTTAGACTGGATAAATGACTCAGGCATTCTAGATCAGAACTGTGCAATCTACACTGATAATGGCACCGCCTGCTAATCAATATTCTGTAATTAACAATGTAAATGAGAGTTGGCTGATTCATTTTCTTTTAGGCTACTTAACTGCGGTCTTCCCACAGACTGGTTTCTATTCCAACTGTAACACTGGTGAATTATTCACATCCCGAGCGCTGGGTGTTTATGGTGAGCTTTAGGCCAAACGCCATCGTAATAATGACTAATCAATAGACCTCGTTTCAATCAAATGCCAGGTTTCACAACACTCTCGGTCTCAGATTGAGCTGGGCTGTAATCATTTCTCTTCTCTTCAGCACTGTTTTCTTATACAGTGTAATGCACAATGGGAGAGAGTTTTTTACAGAGCAGTCAACTTCCCCAGTCCTCATCTCTCGAATGCTGGTTAAACAGTTGCTTTTTCCATCATCCCAGCACTATCTATTGTGTAGATCCATAAAACAGCTGAAGACGCCTTTTCTGTTAGCACTTAACCACTCCACAACCTTAAACCGACGCAATTCTTTCTCTCCTCTTCTCTATAGCTTGTTTCCTAATCCAGTCGAATAAACGTGGGTTTGTATACTGCAAATATTGTTGACGAATTGCTTCCTCTTTTTTTGTAAATCGCTTTGGTTAAAAGTGTGGGTTAAATGCATAAATATGAATGCATTATATATGTGGAAAATGTATTGAGAACCTGCTGAGTATTGCATTGTTTCCTACTGTACAGCAGAGCTGATCGGAGAACAGCACAGCACCTTGTGAGGATTCATCTGTTATGTAAACTGCGCTCAATTTGACATTTGCATTTATTAATTTAGCAGATGCATTTATTAAAAGTGATTTACAGGCAAGCAAATTGTCGTCAAACATATACAGTGACATTTTGGATGTTTTTTGGCATCCAGTTATTTTTGCAGTCTGAAATGGGTTTATGCACCAAATATTTCCAATTTCATGGCATGTGCACTGTCATAGCATGATTCCCGGCCCCCCGCGGCTCCTCCTGCACGAGCCATTGACTCGTTACAGAGACCTGGAAACTGCCTGTAATGTTTTTATCATGGGAGCCTCTATAGCAACCACTTAACGATCTGTTGCTCCAGTGAAGTTGCTGCGTCGTAAATGACACAAAGGATTCCTGGAATAAGAGTCCAGCGTCTTACAGCTGTTCTGACTTTTATATATATGTTGGGTTGCATTAAATCCAGACTTTTTATTTATTAGAGACATGCTGATTTCTGCTCATAAAAAGGTGAACGATTTGTCTCGCACAGTGATTTCTGTGGTTCTCATTATATTGGAGTGTCTAACTGTGAACGAGCACCTGGCAAAGGGTCTGATTACAGTGTATGCACACCCTTCCCATCATGCAGCTGAAGATTAGTCACTGTGTATCTCGCCTGCATCTGTAAATAAGGAACTATTTAACCGTGCATGCGTATAAAACAGGTATGAATCCATTTCCTCAATTTATATTCACTGTTTCTCTCTCTCTCTCTCTCTGTCTCTTGCTCTATCTGCTCAAGCTGTGCTTCTCTCATTCCGTTTCTATGGTTACAGTCAGCGAAAGGTCACCTTCTGGAAGTCGCTGGAGAGCATGCGCCGCACAACGACAGTCCCATAATCACGCTTACAGCAATAACAGCTGATAAAAGCAGACTTCATTAAGCCTGTGTGTGTTACAAGAGCCACTGCACTCCACTATGCAAGCACGTTTACTCACACACTCAGTTCTATATCAGCAATACAAAAATTAAAAACAGACCGTAATGTGCTGGTTGTGTTATAAATGTGTATATGCAACACAGCTCGAGTTAAAGAGAAGCGCTCAAGCTGATGTCATTATTTCCTCCATGTTTGCCTGCAGGTTAAACGCAGTCATCAGTGTTAAACCATGTGCATGTGTTTTAACCTATTATTGGAAGGGGGAAAATGCTGTAATATTGTGGTTGATATAGTTCACCAAAACAAAGCACACATCCATCTTACAGTCAGACTGAAGCAACAGAGTGATGCCGTCTGCCTCCTAGTGGTTGATATCGGCATGACAGCAGATTTCAGATTGCATCACTCCGTGAGCATGGAGGAGCACCAACAACAGCTATAAATCAACATATGTTTATTTACATGCATTAATAAACACGTATAACGTGATTTTTCACGACTCCTGACCGTTCCATCAGTCACAAAGCGAAGGATGTTGTACGTAAATGTGACCATAAGCAGATCTCTTTGTCTCAGTCTTGCAGCCAAAGGCTTTTTTTTCTGTCGTCCTTCATGCAACAAATGATACGCTCCTTCACCTGAGTTGCTGTGATGCTTGGTTAATCATTTAATAACCAACCCCTGGATGCTCAGTAATCAGGTTACTGCCTCGGACAAGCTCATCTTAATTTCCACATCTCTAATGATGGCTTTGATCGGTCATCTGTCAGCTCTCCACGCTGATGTATGGAGTTTGCTTTGATTAGCCTCTGGCTCCCAGCGAGAGCTGACCACTGCATTCATCACAGCACATGTCTGTCACTGAGAGCCAGTGTTTCTGAGCGGTCACTGTTTGTCATGAGTCTCACTGATCACACACTACGAGTGTTTATAGGCCGAAGAGAAATCTAGTTAAATACCAAGGACTTACAAATCTAATCTTTGTGTTGATGCTGATTTCACACATTTGGCACACACGAAAAGCCTTTAAACTATTGTAAACGAAATTACTTACAATGAAGCACCCTTCTGTATGCTTACACATACAGAATACAAATGTATATTAAATACAATTAGCTGAACTTTAGAGTACTTTTTTTTTTTACATCATTATGTATGTTATTCTGCAAAACGCTAAAAGAAAATATTCTGAATAAATAAAGTCATACAGGTTTGGGAAGACATGAGAGTTAATAAAAGATGACTGGATTTCCATTTTTGGGTGAAGTACACTTACTTGGGATTTTTTGTATTAATATTTTCTCATCTGCAATCAGTTTAAAATGCTCTACAAGTGCACATTCAGTACAGTTAAGCACACTTCTTTTTCCACGAAGGTTTTACAAAATAAGTAACCTTCACATTAAAAAGGGATTCGGGATTTTTCTTCCACCATGAAAACCTTTTTAAGAAGTATGAGTCTTTCTCTGTATTGCAATCTTTAGACATGTATACATTCATTCGTTCATTTGACTGTAAAATAATAATAATAATAATAATAATAAATACTTAAATAAAAGAAAGAAAGAAATAGAAAACACTGCATTTGTAGTATTTATAATTACCTGATAGTTTAAGACTAAACACACAAATACATCGTGCTATGCCATTGTTGTTGATGATCATATAGAGTCACAGTATGAATGCATGACTCCATCTGCTGTTCTCACAATTATGGACTTGAGTTTTCTTTTGCTTTGTTTTTCCTGGTTTAGTTCATTAGGTCATTATTAGGTCATTAACCTCCTGCACCTGTGTTGTCCTCATCCGATGCCTCATTTAAGCTCACTCCTTTGTTCAGTGCTCCGTCGCTTATTGTTTATGTTACTGCTGTTGTGAGCCTGTCTTCATCATCTTAGAGTACTATTAAATATTAGAGCGATTATCTTTGTCTTCGTGTGCCTTTCCTCGGCCTCAGTGTGGCAGCTGTATTCTTGTAGATTAGTGTTTCCAGATGAAAGATACAGAAGAAAATCAATGCAAACCTGCTCTGATAACTGCTCTTATCTAGCTCGAATGCGTCTCTTCACTCCACTTTCACTGGGAATTTGATTTGACCCACATCATTATTCTGTCTATACCGAGTTCAGTCACTGCAATATTTCCATTAACACATAATATTGGCTTTCCGAGGAAAAAATGGTCTCAGTCAGTCTGTGTCTGTATTCGTTTCTTTCTATTCTAACCTTATTCGTGTGCCGCTGCAATAAGCTGCTCAGAGTTTCAGACGCAACATAATTTCCCCGTGACTCCCGGTGCGATCATGCCATGTTCATTTCCCCTGGCATTGTTAATATTAAAAACAAATGTATTGATGGTGAGAAATGTGGAGTGAGCGATGCAGATCCAGAGGCCATGCACCTGCTTCAGCATCTACAGCACAACACATCATTTATCATGCAAAACAGTCAAAAGACGCCTAATGCTGGACGTGCAGGTGCGGATGGGCTTTTCTCCCTCAGAGTCTCTTTATTTGTGTTTTGGATAAATCTGATTTTGTGCTCTCCCTCCCTCTCTTTCTTTATTTCTTTTCCTCTTTTCATCCTAGCTCCTGTATCTTACCCTCTCCCTCTCACTTTCCCCTCCGCCACCTTTATTCCTTCTATAATTGCTCATTTGTTTGAAAGGC